ACTCAATTTACAAGGCAAACCACTCTTTTCCTTGTCTTTTAAGAAAACCCAGCTGGGCTCCCACTTCAGGAAGGCGAAGCAATCACAGCTCCCAGGGATTACTAATCAGTGTTGTCATCCTTAAAGAGCTCGAAATTCCATCCTGTACCTGTTTTCATAAGCGCCAGCTGAATAGCAATCGCTTAAGAGTTTCCACACCCAAGCCTCTGAACTTAACATTGCTCCCCTTAACTACCCCCAAAGAGGCAGAGAAAGCTTATGTACTAGGGCTCTATATGCTTATTGTCTTCCTACTTTGGGGACTCCAAGGCTTCTTTTCTAAGCCACTCACAGCTGCTGCTTGAGACGGCAGGGGATGACAATGGCACAAAGCAGACTTTGATGGTGGGAAAGACAGGTCTGCAGGCAGAGGCTGCACATCCAAGTCCTAGCTCCAGCACTTGCTATGATTGTGATCTTAGGCAAGCCATTGCTGCCTTCATAAAGTGAGCTAATAAAGCAGTGATTTATGTCCCTTAATCTTTTTTTTTTTTTTAAACTGGTTTTAAGTACAAAGCAGTCCAGGAATAGACAAATACCTTCTGCCAAGTTGCTTTGGCAACACTCTCACAGCCTCCCATGGTATCTGTTACTGGAGATGAAGAGGCTTTGGGTATCCATTAACCAAAGAATGAGCTGCCCGGGACAGAGACCAACTGGGGCAGGGCAAGAAGACATAGAGTGTGGATTTCCTAGGCAGGAGGCAGTCAGAGAAAGCTATTTGCACTTGACCGGTTCCTTCCTTGAGGGTTAGCTTCGTGACTGGCGGTGACTGTGACTTTAATCTGTAGGCAGCCTGCAGGTCACCAAAACTTCCACCGCATTTTCCACCAGAGAATACTCTGCCTGCCATGCTTAGAAACTATCTGGCTTATGTTCCACTTTGGGGTTAGACCTTAGTGTAGGCATATGTGAAGTGTGAAAGGTAAAAAGTAATGTACAGCAGATAAAATGAAACCCTGGCTCCTCTCCATTACACCCAGTCCCACTGCTAGAAAAAAGAAACAGAAATTCCATGAAACTCTTGTGGCTGTGAGACATCACGGCTGATGGAGGGTCTATGGGAAACTTCCTAGAGACCTCCAGCCAGCACTGGGCCCTTCAGCGTGCCATACTCTATGGTAGCTAACATCCCCTTGGGCGAAACAGCACTTAAGCTTTCTCCTGACTTTGGTTGTTTGTAGCTTCCGTAACAACACAACATCCTTGAGGCCCTGAGTACCAGGTACTAAGACTAAGAATTCTTACAGATGAAGTTTCCAAGACATGGGGACAAGCTGGGGACACACGCCATGTCCTCCCTACAATGAACTAGGCATTTGGTAAATATTTAGTAAATGGTCCAGGTAAGGTTATGCAAATAGTAATTTGCTAGCTTTGGTAATGTTTCCTGGCAGATTCAGGTAGGTACCATGACAGTTTGACATGTTCTATGCATTATTTTCACAAATTTATTACAAGTTTAGACATGTAGTTTCTGGTGCTATTTACTCACAGAGATGTGGGTTGCAACCAAGTAACATTTTTGCTTTTCTTCAACATGATCAAAGCTAAGACAAGAATCTGCTTTCCAGACAAGACTGATTTTGAAAGCTCCCCACTCCCAACTTTATCTGCTTTAAGTGTGAATTTAACCCAAATTAAGCCTCTGTGGCACAGCCATATCTAATGGAAACAGCGAAAATCATAAAGCCAGCACAGCTGCTTGATCCGGCAAAGCTGAACCAGGTGATACAATCGCTGTGGTGCAGTCTCCCACTCTTTTGGCCTTGATCTCTATGTGTCACATGCTTGGGGATCTTTTATTATTCGTGCAACTTGGGGATATCGGATTGATGGGAATTTTCCTATGAATCATTTATACCTTCTCCCAGGAGTACTGTTTCTAAGCTTTCCCAGGAAGGGCCTGACTGTACTACCCCTTCCACTTTTAGGGAGAGATGCTTATCTGGCCCTACTTGAAGGTCTTCCTTTTGTCCTGGAGGTTGTGACTCAAGTAATTATGCCAGAGACCTCCTTATGAGACTCCAACTCAAAGATACTCTTGGCACATCTGCCCCTGCACTTAACTCAGGAACAAGATAATCAGAACAAAGTCAACTTAAAAAGGTAAACAGTATTTGGTAGGCTGGAAAAGTTGGCAGCAGATCAGTTTAAAAGCCTCTTCCTGTACTGATGGACAAAGAATGGTGTGGATAAATGATAAAAGAATAAAATATTAAGACCTCTCTTTCTTAATAAAAGTTAACTCATACGGGGCCACTATGGTATCATGTAATCAAGGAATAAAAAAATACCAAGATCAGATATATAAATAAATTCTACAAATTTATAAAATACAAATATCGCATTACGGCAGAAATTAAATAATAACTGCAGCTTTGGCCTGGCTGAAGATTTTTCTTGGGCTTAATGACAATTTGCACTCTGACTATTAAAGTTGATAATACACTGCTTGGGACATGACAATCTGCCCATGCTGGCTTGGATATTTTCGTTCTGTCTAGTCCCTTTAAAACCACAAGAGCTATCAGTCTGAGAATAGGCTGTCATGCTTTGGCAAAATATGCCCTTGAAACTGCAATATTGTTAAAACTTGGTTTGTGGTACTGATGAGGGAAATTGATTGTAAAAGATAAATTCTGTTTTGTCATGGTTTATCAATAATGACTAAACTTAGGACCAAGTGCAAGTTAAAACACCTGTCCATGGACAAAAATGCTATCTATGTTTTAGAACAACATCCACCTATACCTGCCTACTGAATTCTGTATAAAGCAGGCCCACACTGCCAGTCACTCAGGATGTAAAACCCCTCCTAATCCCTGTGCTTGATGCATTCCTCCCTTGCCACTCTTTCATCCATCCTTCTTCAGGCCCTGACCTCACCCCGGGGCTGGACCCTGGCACCTCTGATCTTCAGGACTAATCAAACCTAGAACACTGAAATACCAGATTTGGAGGTCCTGGGCCCAGCTGAAGAGCAAGCTCTGGGTTTGCCTGAGCGGCCCTACCTCAGTAAGACAGAAATGCAGCTGATGATGACCTGTGGATGAGCAGTTACACACACATACGAAAACGGGGGGGGGGGGGGGATTTAAAAAAGATCCCAGGTCATACAGACAGTTGTTATGATACATTGGAGTGTGTATTGCCATACTTAACGATTGAGTCATCTCTCTGGGCCCAGATTTTATTTGACTTAATAAAGTTTTCCTGAGGTGATTATGGCACATTTATAATTTTATATGTGCAATATTCATCAAACCCCAAAGGCACTCCTAAGAAAAATGACAGAAACCAACCACTTAATATCCCCTTTAGGGCTGTACATAAACAAGAAACATTTCAAACTTACTCATGAACAACAGTACAGAGCCTAATTAGATTTATCACTTTATAGCAAAATTAAAAGCAGAGTAATTATGTATTGTCAATGTTATATTATTTTAGGCACATTTTGGGAAAAGGTAGGTTCCAGAAATTAAGATGAACTTGACACTGAAAACTTATCAAACACAGAACAGCCTACTAAACAGATGGCATATGAGCAACAGGAAACAGAGTTTCCATAGTTTTGTTAAGGAAGCATTTCCAGCTGACTTCCTTTCCTTTCTTAATTTAGTACACTAGCAGATTAAACCATTTTCAAAGACACATCTTTAAAACACGGCAAAAATTTTATCATGTCTTTTCCAGGAAAGACTGAAACGGGCACACAAGGTGACTGATAGTTATGCAAATTAGAAGTACTAATGTATCAACCTAAGGGTTACACTAGGCCTTTATAGTCTGTTCTCAATACTTATCAGTAACTTCAAAAACAAATGAACAAATAAATCCCCCAGTGAACATGAAAGTATGCTTCAAAACTGAAGCTAACAGAGTCTGAAAGGGTATTTCCACATTAAAATTAGTGAAGATAAATACTGCCCTTCAGTTAGGTTATGAACCTATATGAGTAAGGTTAGGAACCTATATAAGTTAGGTTAGGAACCATATAAGTAAAAGTTAGGAGTAGATATGGGCTTAACAGCAATGCATGTGTAGTTCTTCAGCCATGCCATATACTTGCCAAAGACTGATAATAGCAACTAACTGCACCTACATCTTCAGAATAACTTTGAAGTTGGTAAAATGCCTCAAAACCATGTATTTTAGTTAGATTACAGAACCGTTCACCTTATGCAAGAGCCAGCTTTAGACTGGTCTGGATCAGATATAACGTGACATTTAAAAATGTGAAACTCAAGGGAGAGTATGAAGAGGTAGTCACACAGAAGAGATAGAATTTTTAATTCTAGCTTTAGACACATGCTATCTATAGAGAATCTAAAAGATGCTGTTTTTATGGCCTCTGCAGGGGTACAAGGTGACTGTAGCACCAATGGCTGGACAAAAAGATGCCACTTTACACCACTGCTATTCTTAACTCAAGACTGTATTTTTCTAGCATGTTTATTAGAAAATTAGAACTCTAATCTTTCTAAACAAAATTATTTTTGTTTAATTTGATAATGTAGATATAATCTACTATGCAACCAACTCAGAAACAAGCCTTTCAACCTTTGAACCCTTTGTGAACCATGAGACCTTTCTGAATAGGCATATTTGACAGCTGTCTGGTGTTAGGTTTGGAGACTCCCATGAGGCATCACAAGACTTCAAGAGTCTCCGCAGTCTGAGCCAGCACAGGAGGCCACCCGGGCTCTGCAGAGGACTGTGGGACTGCTGAGATACCAGGCAGAAAAGGGCCAACAGCTTTCTGTCAGAGCCTCTGCAGCAGCCCATCCTGCCAGCTGCCTCTGTAAGTGACTATGTGGTCCCCTAGATTTCTTAAGAGAAAACCCCAGTCAGCTCAGTCTGCAGCTCTTTAAGAGTTGTGTCCTTTGTTACTGACCTTAAATCCTTCAGGGATTATGTTACAGAAGTGATAGGATGACACAATTAAATATTAGAAATGACCACCGAGTATATCCTGTTTATTGTTTATGATTTACACGGAAAATGGCGGGCTGGGATTGTAGAACAATAAACCAATCATTACAGTTAGACCTGGGCTTTTGAAAACCTTGCATTCCATTTTAACAGCTCATATATATTTAACAGCTTATATATAAATCCATATCACAAATAATCTTAAAAGTTAGTTAGCTTAGAGATAAACTAAGAAACACAAAAGAAATCCACATGAGTTGAACTTTAAATATCAGCATTCATATTATAAGAAAAAAATGTTCAAAAAATTAAAATTATTAAGCCAAGTAACAACATAAAATAAAGAAATAAGATACATGTCATTTTATTAATATTTTCACTATTTCTAATTTACCTTCATATATTCTTAACTTTCCAAAGGATCCAAGATAAGCTCCAATAATGTACTGGGGTCTGAACTTGTCAGGCTCAGCTTATACTGGCTTGTCACCATGAAGTCCTAAAACCTTATTTTCCTTTTTAAAAAATTTAAAGCAAGTCTTATTCAGCTTTCTTCTTCACAGCAGCTGTGTATACGTAGTAGGGAGCCAACAATGAAGGGCGATAACAGATGGAAGGCAAAAAGTACAACAGCTACCTTACGTTCAACTCTCTGGCTGAGTTTGGAACCAAACCTTTTAACAACTGGCAGATAATAGCTAAATCTGAATAGGCAAAGAAGAAATATTTTCTTTGGGACAGCTGCTATCTAGGAGAATAAAACCGAGGTCCCTTAATACTGACTAAACATAACATGTGGCTTGATACAAAGCAATCTGCAGCAATGTAAGTTTAATCAGTAAGTGCCGCAGCTATTCAGCAGTACATACGATAAAACAAATAAACCACACGATCCACAAATGTCCACAGTACACACATGGGAACTAATGTTAATCTGGTATGACTTCTTGACACTAACTGATCCTCAATGAAATATGGTATGGAAAGATCACAGAGTAGAAAACAAGCAAAGATTAGTTTATACAACGTTGACTATATACATGAGAAGGAAACATGCTAGCTAGAGCAACATTAAGGCCTGAATGTAAGCATCCAAAGTCACAGAAGCCCCAGAGAACCCCTAAATTACAAATTCACCACATTACTTGCATGCAATGTTCACTTTTGTTTTTACCCATAAAAGGATACACAGTATTCTGCTGTAAATACCAGCCACATTTACAATATATGCAAAAAAATCAGAATGCAAGTGTTTATGTTTCTTATATTTAAGCCTCAAATGTGCCAACGGTGAAAATCCATTTATTATTAAGAATGGAGAAAAAAGAATATAAATATTCAGAGATATTACACAAATCAAATGAAACTATGCATTCCGGGAGCTCTATAAACATTCCCGAAACTAGGTAGGCAGTGGACTGGGTAGATGTGCACTCACTGTAAGCTCTAATACTGTACCTGTATGCCATAGCTCTCTAGCACTGACATCAGGTCTCAGCTGTAAGCTACCAATTACAGTGTGTCTCATGGACTTGCCTGCTCCGCGTGACCACCTACAGCTGTGCAATTTTCATGTGGGTGATGTAGTTACAAACAAGGCCATGTGCAAATCTTCAGACCTTCTAAGTACTTCAGAAACCAAACTACCTTAAACAACAACATCCAGTTTCTTAAACAAGTATGTCTAGAGTGTTCTGGACCTTCAAGTATTTAATAAGCAGAAACAGACTGGATAAGGGCTTAGATAGTGTTTCCTAAGGCCAAATACATGTAACTGTGTCAAGCATGGAGCACATCAGCTTATTCACATGCTTTACTGGCCTTTAAACACATCCAATGTTCATGAATATTTTATTATATAACCATTTCAGGAGGTTTACATCTAAGATGTAAATTTTTTTCATGTTCTGGTCCAAATTTTAGTCTTTGTCTGGCATTCTGAAAAGCTTTAATCTTAAGCTTCTCAGTATTATTATAAACTAAGAAGTTTCGATGTAGCAAAAGCAAAGGGACCAGTGAAAATGCATGCTTTAGAATTCAATTTATTTTCAATGGAACCAAATTTTACTACTGTTGTGATCAGAGTCTTCACATCTGATGTGGAAAGAAGAGCTTAATTATGATCTCTTAGTGGCAGCACTTCAGACAAAACCAGTAACATATGCCACAGAGATGACTACTGACTTTACGATGAACACCAACATATTCGACTAAAGAAAGTGGATGCACTGCCTGAACATTCAGTCTGAAAATGGTTAGTATGTTCTGCAAACCTAAATTCAGTTTAGAAAGGTTAATATTCTCTTTCTAAACTAGAGCATATACTATATATAGCATTTTAAATATATTTATTTATAATTATTTGCACATCAGGTTAAGAAGGAATTTGCAGATTTACTGTGATAGAATTTAGATCTCATTTCAATGTTACGGTTTACGGGGCTTCTGCAGTACTGTCATTTGCAGGTGGGGTATCAGGATCAGGTTCAGAGGAAGCAGCTGCAGAAGCTTCAATAACTGCAGGTGGGAAATGACGGCGGCACACAGGGCATGTTCCCGACTGGAGGGAGGAAACAAATCAACAAACCAATTAACAGCAGAAGAAATAAACTAATAGCAGTATCTTTATAGAAAAATTATAGTACAATTATCCTACAAACAAATCAAGTACCTTCAAAAAAACGTTTGTTATTTTCAATTTTGTATATAAGTACGTGTCTGGGGGTGTGGGGGTGGACATGCAGGCAGGTGCCCATGGAGCCACAAGAATGTTGGACTTTCCCAGAGCTGGAAGTACAGCAACTGGAGGCCAGCTGACATGGGTGTTATGAACCAAACTCAGCTTCTCTGTAAGAAGCATATGCATTTTTAATTGCTGAGTCATCTCTCCCAATCATCTCTCCATCTCTCCAATCTCCCAATTTTTGCATTTAAAAACAAAAAATACACCTCATATCCACGACATAGACAAAATCTTAAAGCCTTTTGTTTAATGTCATGTCAATTTTAACGCCAGACTCAAACTTCTTTTAAACAAAAACAGTATGTCTGTACCTTGTATTAAACTCACTTTTGTTCCCTGAATTATAATCTAGAACTTCCCATGATGGCATGGATGCTATTGTCAAAGCTGAGAATCAGTGCATGTCATCATGGAGGTCACAGTTAAACTTTCTAACAATCAGAATCAAATCATTATTTCATCTATTAGGCACATATGAGGCACCACACAATTGGTTCACCAAATGATGGCCTCAGAAGGACCACCCTCATTATATACATGTATGACAGCCTTACTTAAGTGTAGACAGATGGACCTCAGACCTCACTGTTTTAGCCAGGTAATCCCCTTCTAAAGAGACAAATTATGTGCCTTCTCAATAACAAAAGAAATCAACCACAGCCCTGGGAAAAAAGGTGGGCAAGGGAGCACAATTTAGGGCCAGTGGAAGACCACAGAGATCTGGTATCTAACAGATCACTTCCTTGCAAATCTGATCTTTGTTCAAACACTTTTCCCTGATAGAAGGCTGGTGAAGGTATCATACTGCTGAAGGTGACAAAGAATTAAATCTTTGGAACTTTTCCCCAGGAGTGTCTTCATGCAACGTTTTTCCTTAGCAGACAACAATTAGATTGTTAGCCCATGCTGTAGCAAGGTCAAGCACAAGGACTGCACACTTGCCGCAGTGAGTGGCCTCTAACAACAGCATCATATGTACAAGTGCGGTTTTGGCCTAGGATGTACCAGCTACATCACCTTAGCCTGTGTGACGATCACTGGATAAGGAATAGAACACCAGTACATTTTTCAGTTCTTTGAGGATTAAGTGGGTAAATAGAGTGGAATCATCTAGTGTCAACTATAACTGATCGTACAACACACTGAGTCCTTCTTAAGTCTCTGTAACTGAGCGTGTAAAGAAAGCTAGTTACCTTGAGGATACAAAAGCTAGGGTTTCAGCTTATCTACTCAGATCACCTCATCTTACAGATGGCATGGAAGGGAGCCAGGCTTCAGGAACAAATGCACAGAAACATGAGCAAATGTACAGAAAAACAAATATGAAGAGACAGGGTGGAGGCTAGGGCACAGAGGCCTTGAAAGCAAAGACAGAAATGCACTATTCTGCAAATGAGAGTAATCAACTCAATCTCTCTCCCCTTTAAGGAGAAGGAAGTAATGGGAGCAGAGCTACAATTTACACAATACCTATAATGAAGACAAGGAATGAAGTGGGCAATGAGGTGAAGGCTGAAAGGCTGACTGAAGTGCAGGGGTAGGCATGAACCACAGGCTCCGGTACACACATAGTAGTGCTTTCCTAACAATTTCAGAAAGCTCTTCTGCTGAGTAGCATCACCTTTGCTATCATGCACAGGAATTACAGTTCCTTTCCCACTTTAATCTGACCTTAACTTCTGCTAACTTACTGTAGCTTTTCTATACCACGTGTTCATGTTATTAGTAATATGTTAAATAAGATATGGCCTATTTATTTCAACTTTATATAAACTTTGAGGTAGACAGATTATGTTGTTTAATATAGTCATCTATGCTATACTCAACAGAATGGCAAATAAACAGATTAAGAATGTCTGAAGTCTTAATGACTTGAAACACACATGATCTGCACTCATCAATTAGCACTCATTTTGTTAACATGCAGGTTTCTGAAGTCTGCTGACAGGTCTTTGTAACTTGTACCATAAATTAACTTATATTTGCAATTCATTATTTAACAAGCCATCTCTGATTTTTACTAATATTGCTGACGTAATTTACGTTGTTAATATTTCTAGGCACTGACTCCTCCTAGGTCATCACACTAGTTCTCACAACACTGTAGAATACACATTATCACCCTAACAATGGATGATTAAAAAAACACCTTAAAATTAAGAAAAAGCCAGCAGTAATCAGGTACAGAACTCTCAACTGCAATTCAAAAGAACACTGCAGCTCAGAGGTATTTTTCTGCTTCATGAATCCAACTATAGAAGTATTTCAGAGCAACTCTACAATAAGATGTATAGACTTAGAGCTATCACAGCAATAAATTCTAACCAAAATGAACGGGGGAGAAAAAACATAAATACACTATTTCAAAGTTTGAACAGAAAAAAAAAAGTACTCAGGAATAAATTTAAAAATTATATTAGGTATTAGAAAAACCTGTACAATCCTTCTGGAGAAAAAAAAAATTAAAGAAAACCAACCCAATAAATGCCAGGAATTGGGGAAAGCGGAGATGTGTCCACTGGCAGGTGAGAATACTGGTATTGGAGGCAGAGAAAAACAGCAGTTGAAGGAGAGAGGAATAATAAAAAGATGTCAGCAGATTGAAGCTTACGAAGTGAGTATGCATTTACCCACAACACTAGAGGTAACAGCAACAGCTTCTGTAAAGGAACAGCGGACATTTCTACACTAGATTTCAGACTTTAAACAGTTTTAAGAATATAAAGTTTACAGTAAAGGGAAAAACAGTAAAGAAAATGGACAGAAAGGGGAATGGGAAGGAGTGTGTATAACGAAGAAGGAGTATGACCACAAGAAGAATACTAAGAAAGCAATTAGAAGATTTCTTGCAAGCTAGATGGTAACTACCCTTCATGTGACAATAGAGAGCATGGCATCCAAGTACACTCTTTATTTCTTAAGTAACTCGAAGATACTTGAAACTATTGGTGGTTCGTCCTTAAGGCAGAGATAAAATCTAAAGGAGTGGTCCCTGGGGTGGTTGCTGTATTTCTCTCATGTATTTTCAGAACACCTGTGCACACTTAAAGAACACTTTTTTATTATCACAGTATGCTTTGAATGGTATAAAAGAATCTTTTGATATACTTCTGAAAACAATTTCAGGGCTGTGAATAAAAATATATTAATTGTTCCTGTTGTCTACGCTTCTACAAAAGGCAGCCAGTCTTTAATGTGAAATATTGTATAGGCTCAAAGGTCACTATTATTACTCTTTGTAGGAGAAACTATTCAAAATTAATTTTAGGAAAGTATATCTGAAGCTCACCTTCTGTAGCCAAATTGAGACACAAGGCTTATGAAAGAAGTGATGGCATGGCAGCTCTGTCGCTATGTCATCCTTAATATACTCGCTGCAACAGATTGGGCAGCACTGCTCCTGACCAATAGCTGAGAACAACAAACAATGCACATCATCAATCAAACCTATGAAGTTCAACAGTAACAAAATGAATCACGTGACAGCTATGGAAGATGAAAGAGGCAGAATATCAGTTAACTAGTAAACATGATTCTAGCACATTAATTTGGAATTTCATTAAGCATTACTTCTTTAAAAAGTTCACTGGCTAAACATCTGATCTTTATCATTTTGTTTGTTTGTTTGTTTTGTTTTTCAAGATAGGGTTACTCGGTGTAACAAGCGCCCTGGCTGTTCTGAACTCACTCTGTAGACCAGGCTGGCTTTGAACCCACAGAGATCCACTTGTCTCTGCCTCTTGAGTGCTGGGATTAAAGACATGCACCACCTTTATCATTTTATTAAACATTTTCTATTAGGTGAAAGTTTGTCCATTTCTGGCTTAAAAAAATAGTAACCAACTACTTCATCTCCTAGGTGGCCCAACATTTAATCAAAATATACAATATGCTACACAAAACTTGAGAACTTTGATCTTACCAGTATGATCTTCTAGAACAAGAGTTTCTGGAAGTCCATCAATGCTTTCCTTACTAGCTGGTGGATTAGCCACCTCAACATCTACTGCAAGAGATTCTAGATGTGCCAGCGCAGTCTGAAAAAGAGAAAGCACAGTTCTTTGCTAGAAGATACTTTGAAATAGTAATGGGAAACTATTTTTTGAGAAGTATCATCAATTTATATTTACTATATTCTCATATGCTTTTCTTGTTATTTCTGGGCCATTTTGCTCCCTTCCAAAAAAACAAAAACAACATAAAATTACCACCAAGATCATTAAGTCAAATACCCCTCACCTACACACATACATGTGAACGCACTAGGAGGTGCAAGGACACAATAGTGTACAGATGTGGAGTAAAAGACCAGACTTTGATGCATTTTCTTTCCTTCTTCCAGAAACCATGCGCACGCACAAACACACATCTGCAGAAAGCCCAACCTATCACAAGATCTATCTTGTGTCAACCATGATCCCCTTGCCTATTATAAGTGCATTTTTCAGATGAATGGTTATGCTTCCAACTTAAGAGCTCTTGTGTGAGATCAATAATATCAGGGAAAGAAGCACTTTAGAAAGGCTCACTTCATGAGATAACATGCCACAGTTAGAGGACAAAATGTTTACAAAGTAAAAACAACTGAGTCCTGTGGTTTTACCTATTTGCACAGAATCAGCACATGCACACTGTTAGTCAACAAGTGTTACTAGGTTACCTGGTCAAATTCTTTTAGGGGTTAAATTTTGTTTAAATGACTATTCTATGAAGGCTGGAAAAAAACAAACAGTCACATGAATATTTAGTACGAATCATCCTCTCTCTTCTAGATTCCAGTTCAGATGAACTGACAGGCAGGCCTTGTCTCTTCTGCTTGCTGGTTTTCATGACATGTTCTTAGTGCACATGGTGCTGCTTCCTGTGCCTGGCACTTCCTGTCCGTCCTTTAAGTCATACTCTTCCAGGAAACCTATGCTGGCAATCCCAAGTCACAATGGTATCATCTTTCTGAACTGCTCTGAATCAAGACAATTAATATTACACAAGTTTATTACTTGTTAGCAGCATATCCTAAAAACAGCATCAGAAGATCACAAAGCTATAATACTCCATTAATCTATAGCTTAATACTTTACTACTGAGATGGCTATCAAAAGTTGGCCTCCTTCCTGGTAGGAATGCAAAATGTCATAGCCAATATAGAAAATAGTATGTCAATTTCTTAAACACTTAAAAATAGAGTTCCTTAGCCAAGCACTGGTGTTGCATTCCTTTAATTCCTGCTCTTAGGAGGCAGAGGCAGGCAGATCTCTGTCAGTTCAAGGCCAGCCTGGTCTACAGATGTTCCACGATAGCCAGTGATACACACTAGAAACACTGTCTAAAAATCTCAAAATGAATGAAAGAATGAAAATAAAAATAGAATACCATGTAATACAGCAATTCTACCCTAGGTATATACTCAAAATACCCGAAAGCAGAGCTAGTCTACATATACTGTACATCATGATGATTAAACCATTGCTTATAGTGGCCAGAAAGCAGGAAAGTGGGAGCAAACCAAGTGTTGACTGCTAACATACACGCTCTCTCGCTCACACGCTCTCTCATATGAATTAGCTTTGAAATGAAGTTCTAACATATTATCACATAGACTAATTTTAACATTATATTAAATAAGCCAGTCACACAAAGGTAAACACAGTATTATTCCATCTGTATGAGGTAACTAAAGTAATACAATTCACGGCCAAGGTGGAAGGAGAGAATTAAATTTTAGTTCTTCCATGTCTAAAAAAGAACCCAGAAGCAGTGTCGGAAAAGGAAGACTGAGGACAGAAATTCTTCAGACTTGTAGGGATGGGTCATTCCACAAGTACATAATTCTAACAGGGCTTGGGGTTCATTTGTTCGGTATAGTTTTGCTTGCCTGGTACACGAGGTACTTTTAAAAAGAAAACAACACTGCGCATGGTAGTTATGTGGCTGTGTTCCTAGCACTGAGGAAATGGGGACAGGCAGATGGATCCTTTGTTCAACCAACCCAGCCAACTAAGTTCCAGACCAGTGAGGAACTGTCTCAATAGAAACGACAGGACAGTGCTCATGAACCAACATGCCAGGCTATCTTCACATCTCCACGTGAACCAGCACATACATGTGTACCTCATACACATGAATTCATGAGAATTTAATATTTAAAGAAGATGATAATAAATGTTTAACACTAATCTGAGTGACTTTACCTTAGACTTAAGATATGTTGGATGATTAAAACTTAGTTGACTGTTGATCTAAAATAAGCCATGAATATAGTCCTGAAAACTTACCATTGCTATACAAAATATTATGCTACCTGATTAATACAGTCTTATAACACCTATCGGAGAAATTTTACTGAATCCCTTTTGTAGATGAGGTTCCTAAAGCTTAAAGGTTAAAGTGTACAGTCCAAGATCACACCACCTATGCAACCAGCCAGATCAGGCTCTTTAAATTAACATTTTTCTATTTAGTGTATGTATGTGCATATGCGCAGCGGTGACTATAAGGAAGTCAGAAGACAACTTGTAGGAGTGGGTTTTCTCCAGTTCTAGAAGTTTAACTCCTGTAATGAAGCAGAGTTCCCTTGCCCAATTATGATCTTGATGGCTCAAGAACTCATGTTCTTGACATCTGTGAAGTATGTTCCTAAGATTTATTGCCCAGTGTGTATAATGTATTTTTGTGAATCTGTAAATATTCTTGTAGGTTCATGAGTGTGTGTGGACATCCTTACGGAAAACAATGTCCATCACCTTAGTCTTTCCAGAAGCTAATCTGCATAAGTGTGTACCTACAGTCCAAGTGTTATTTGACCTTCATAGTCCTTAAATAGTCCTTAAACTAGCCTTTCTCATACTTTATAAATTAGTAACTTACAGGTATAACCTAAAGAATTGAGATCTACATGGACTCCAGTAGAAAAAGAAATCTTTTAGGAGACTTACAAATCCTTTGCTTTAAGTTAAAACAAGAAACACAGCAAGGAAGTAGATGTAACTTTTGGAAAATGTCACCAAATAACTGAGTGATGATGCTATGATTAAACTCCTTTCCTATTAATTTATCTGTTCCAACAAAATTTCTCAATCATTCATACATAAAAAATAAAATTTATGCTGAATATGTTTCATTCTAAGAATATACTCACGAAATAATTAGACAGAGAAAAAGCATTTATTTCATTAAGTATCATTTCCAGTAAAATTATGTGTTTAAGTGTTAGCCAGAAGTTTTAGTTTATCTGTAACTGTAAATATACAAGAGAAAACTGTAAAGCATTCTTCTGAATTACTTTTTTGAAATTACATTTTCATTGTGTGTATGTATGTATGCAAATGCACATGGGTATGGAGGTCAGATACAACTTCCTGGAGTTGGCTCTCTCAAAACGTGGTGGGTCTCAGGGGTTGAACTCGTTGCCAGCCTTGGTGGAAAACACCTTTACCAATGAGCCATCATGCCAGCCGTGAATTAAATTTTTAAAAACATTTTCTCTGCACTATTACTTAAGACTTATTTTTTTTATATATAATTTGTTCACTTTATATCCCAATTGTAGACCCCTCCCTCATCTTCCCCTCAATCCTTCCCCTGGATCCTATCCTCTCTCCCTATCCTCCTCCCCTAGTCCACAGAAAGGGGACTAGGGGAGCATTCTTCCCCTACTATCTGACCCTTGCTCATCAAGTCTCATTAGGACTGCTTGCATCTTCTTCCTCTGTGGTCTGGCAAGGACCCCTCACCAGGGGGAAGTGATCAAAGAGAAGGCAACGGAGTCCATGTCAGAAATAGGGCCTTACTAGGGAACCCACATGGAGACTGAACTGCCTATTGGCTACATCTGAGCAGAAGGGTTATAGGTCCTCTTCATGCATGATCCTTGGTTGGAGTATCAGTTTCTGCAGTCCTCCCCTGGGCCCAGATTTATTGGCTTTGTTGGTCTCCTTGTGGAGCTCCTGTCCCCTCCAGGTCCTTCTATCCCCCCTACTCTTCTATAAGACTTCCTATACTCTGCCCAAAGTTTGGCTCTGACTCTCTGAATCTGCTTCAATCCCCTGATGGGTGGAGTTTTTCAGAGGACATCTATGGTGGACTCCTTCCTGTTCTTGTCAACTGTTTCTGGTGTCTATCCTGTTTTCCCTTCTGAATGAGAATAAAGCATCTTCCCCAGGGTTCTCCTTGTTATTTAGTTTCTTCAGGTCTGTGGATTTTAGTATACTTAAGACTTATAATGAAAATTTTAGATGCCTATATAAATCTATGTAAGTATATATATATTTCCAACTTTAGGAATATGTAGAAAGCTCTAATATCAAGAATACCTAATATTAATATCTAATATTAAGAAAACTAAAGATGTTTGCTATTTTATCCTGAGCTTACTCAAACATGAGACACTGATATGCGTCTAATGTATATTGCTAAGATCTGCACCCAAAGCTTCTATCTAAAGAGAAAGATGGGCCAAGTATCAGAGAAATAGAAAGAAAACAGATACTGATAGAAGAAGTGTACTGCTTAGTAGACAAATAAATAAAAGTATCCAGGGATTTTTTTCTACAACTTTTGTTTTATCCAATAAAACCAGTGTTAAGTCTAAAATCTAAGTTATTTTAGCGCCATGCTTTAAAACTAAATAAATGCATACCAGACATGAAAAAAATTATTTCTGCAGCATAATAGGAAAATGGAATTGTACTTATAATCTAGATGTGAAATAACTCGACCAAAACCAAAATTCAGTAATGTGGAGGGCTAAAATGTGATAAAAGTGTTAATGCTGTGGAGAAGGGAGAGTGTGAAAAACATTCATCAGAAGCATAAGGACAGAGAAGTAAAAACAGCTTTGACAGTGGCACCACTGCTGGGTTCTCATTAGCAGAAGCAACAGTGGAAGCAGCTGCAAGTTCAAGACTGTGTTCATTCTTGCTTCGCCTTTATTCACACTACTGGTGCCTTTGTATAGCATGTCTCTCATGACCAATCTTTTTAGCTCTTCTTTCAACCAAATGTTACATTCCCCATTAGTAATAAATACAAATTTACATTATTCTCAACATTTCTTTTTAAGGATACCTTCATACTAAAGGAAATATAAATCTAAGGTCATAAAAATAAAAGATATTGTGAAACCAAGCCCCTAGTATAGTTTTACTTTACTATGCTGACTCAAAAGTTACATTTCTTATGGAAAAGAGTAATCTTAAATCTCTCTCGTGTCTCTGATGCAAGCTACCACACCATACCATTACTTTGTTCATGCCAGCTTTGGGAAGGAAGGTCCTACATGCATGCTTTTCATGATGTTGGTTGCTCTGATACATACTATTTCTGCTATGGTGATTTCTGAGAACAACACAGTAGTAAAGCATAACTGAGACTAATTCTCCAATGGAAAATTACACATAGGAAGGAGCGTAGACGTGACATCAGTGCTCATGTACACAAATCTGTTTGCCTATTATCTAACTTAGCAATCTGAACTGAACTTTTTACTCAGAAAATTTCAAGATACAGTATTGTCATAATGTTCCAGGAAGTCCCTTACTGATTTGTTTCTTAGTCCTTTCTCTTCCAACCAATCAGTACTACTGTTTTAGTTTGAAATCACTTTATGACTAGTGATTTAAAGACAGATTTGTTTTAATGAGGTTTACCAGTTTAATGGAAGTTCCCAAATTGAAATATTTGGGCTTTTAATTTTGGGAAATACATTTTAGAATAAGTTTGTGTGTTTTAGTTTAAGAAAATCAAAAGGCAAAAGAGGTGGCAAATGTGTCCCAGTGCTGAAAAGTGTGCACATGTGTGCGGCAGGAGAGGAAGCCAATCTAACTGTAATAGTGAGTGCTGTCTGGAGGACACAGGGAAAGTTCTGTACCACAGCCTTAGATCTGCCAACTCCACGACTATGCTTCTCTGTGCCTGTGTGTATGTATGTGTAAACATTCATATTTGCATACCCACAGTTCCTACAGGAAAAAGTCCATTTCTTAAACTTAAGCAAAATATTTCTCATTCTGTCGAAAAAACTGACAACTATTCCAATTTAAAGGAAACTGGCAAGACAAGTGACTTCACATAGCCAAACTGCTAACAGTCACTACTCAGCATTTGTCAATTCACCGAGGAAACTAATCATCCTCTCTTCAGCAGAGTTAAAAAACACTAAAACTGTTTTATATTTTACCAATTTTCTATGTATTTATCAGTTAAAAAAATACCTCCATAGCCTGGGCTAAGCGCTCTTCTAGTGCCATGTAGGTGAGGAACTGAGGATCCACATAAGAAATAGCTTCAGCAACTCCTAGTCCATCCGCAAAACCATCAAACAGGCTGAAAAAACAAGATTCATAACTATGATTTTAGAAATCTTACAGTGAGGATAATTACATACCACCACATTGGTAGACTGTACAGGTTCTGTAAGCAGAGAATTCTTGCAATATTTAATGCAAACCGTATGGGCTGAAGAACAGGAAAAACAGCAGAAGAGCTAAGCGTTAAGTGTAAAAGGTTAAATAACCCATTTTGCTCACCAACCTGTCATCTCACTGCACAAGACTTGCAGGAAATCCCCCTTTGTGTCTGACTCAAAGGCCTGCTTAATGGTAACACATTTCCTCACATAATCCTTTCCCTATATTTTCCTTTCAGTTAATGTTAGTTTCTAATCTGGGTGAAGGTGGAATATGAGTAAGAATTGTTGTATCTGATTTCTATAACTAGTCAGGACCTTTCCCTAACCCCTTGTCCACTTTGAACTGCTTAATTACTCTAGATTTTATAAGATTTTGCTTTCTCAAGTCTTCCTCAATCTGTTTTCTTCCCCTTGGCTAAGTATCAGAGCATTTTCACTTATTAATAGCTAGGAAATTATTTTTCTCCAAACTGTTCAGTTTTATGACTTCTGGTTCTATAAGAACTATATACTCTTCAAGAAAAACACATTTGACTCTGTGTTAGGCTATTGCCTTTATCCTTAAGTCAGATTCTGCTTTCCCCTGGCCCTAGAATAATTAAGTATTTAAAAATCAGGAAATCCAAGCATGGTAGTGTGCACATTCACTCTAGCATCAAGGAGGAAGAGGCAGGAGATTTCAGTCAATTTCAGGCCAGCCAGAACTACATATGGATATTCTGTCTTAAAAAACAAACCTAAACAAAAAAAAAAAAAAAAAAAAAAAACAAAGAACACCTTTGGTAATTTGCTCTCTAGTCTTCTTGCCTTGGAATTTCATTTCTTCTATGACCTGTTCTACAGGTAATTCCTACATTTTTACCTTGTTCCAATGTCTGCGAAACTCCTAACCCACATTCCCAAGTGCCTATGGGCTGTACTGTGCAAATGTTTTCCCATCGCCTTATAAACCCAAGATCCTAAAATGGTGGTTTATCTAAGGGCCAACTTCTGTTGACTTCTTCATCTTCTTAGTATTTGAGTATCAGAGCTAGAAACAGTCATACACGTTCGCTCAAAATAGTATAGTGTCACCCAGTTGGCTACCACTAAATTACAAACAAAGTGCACAAAGAGATATATTAAAAAAAACTTAGTTTAGCTGTATTGGAAATCAACCAGTGTCACACAGGGCACAGCGATTCTTACACCATCTCTTCATTCCTCCAAGCGTAAGACTGTTACCAAACCCTGAACTGGAGAGCACACTTGGGAGAATGCCTTGGGATCAGTCCAATAGGATTTAATTGAATCACAGTTAACGTGAGACTTGGAGTTATTGACTCTTACTAGCTCTGCATCTATGAAATAACTGGACATGCACAGAGATGGCAGGCACAGAGACAGCAGGCACAGAGACAGCATACTGAAGACACACAAGAAACAAAGGAAATAGTTTTCCATGCGCACTATTATCCAATAGATTCAAAACAACATGAATACATATACTTCCTATACAAAAATCCATTCAAATGGTTGAAGTAAATTACTTCCCAATCATTCTGTTTGTAGCGCAAACAAACCTAGACACTAAGGGCATGGATATCTAGTTATAATTGGGCCACTGAAGAATAATCAGTGTTTAAAAAATTCATGTTTCAGACAAGAATAGGATGCTAAAGCTAGCAGATGGAAGTTTGATAGTTGGAGAATAAACATATTGTTTATAGTCTCAAAGTAGCCATTGGTTAAAAAGGGGAAATGGAAATCTGACAGTACAAAATTATCTGCCATATAATATATCTTTATCTTCTGGTGTATATTAAAGACAAAATATCATTTTTTATTATTTTTACTAAAAATTAATAAATCTATGTATGATAATAGACAAATACAATGTGACAGATAGTTTATAAAATAAATGGCCTAAACTTTTCAAATATTTGTCAGAAATAAAAAACAAAAATTAAAAAACTGATATGGCCAGATTAAAGAAACTTATTAATTAAATGCAATGACGGTCCTAGATTAGATCAGATAAACATTTTCTGTAAAGTCAGTGGTGAGATAACTATGGACATTAGATTAAGCCTTGGGGATTAAATTATTAGTACTATATCAACACTAACTGTATGATTTCAGCACTCTGTGTTATGTAAGAAAATGTTTATAATTTTCAGAAATTCATTCTAGTTTTTCATTTTTGTAAGTAAATAAATAATTTCTGTGGACTTATTCATAAAAAAAAACCAGAAGAATTTTTACCATATATACAGAGAGGAAAGGGAAAAGAAAACGGCATAAACATTGTTTTCTCTTAAAATCAATCTACAAAGATGTGAAAGTCAAAGAAGGTTGAGGAAAAAAGAGGGAAATAGTCCATGTGGACAGTGCTATCTGATGGAGATTTGAAGAAGCCTAATCTTACCTATCAGAAATGCAGTTCCTATGATAAGCTTACTCAGTGAGTAACTAAGCATGTTAACATGGCACATACCTCCAATCCACATCTAGATCCTCACTCACACTGGAGTCATCCTCAAGGTTGTTGTTACCATCCAACATGAAAGCTTCTGGCTGTGCAAACTCATTGGCAGGCTCATTTCCTTCATCACTGCTGCTTTCATTGACTTCATTGTACTGTAACCAGGGAATTTCTCCCTCTTCCAAGGATGTCTGTTCCCTAATATAAACATTTAAAAGGAAGTAATAGAACAAAATGTTGTTTTCAAATATATGATACTGCATTTTATGGCCATCCTACTTAGTAACTTTAGGTTTAAGTCCTTGGTACTTATGATTCTAAGTAACAGTTTTCTTTACCTGCAAAAGCATTTCAATAGAAAATAAATGTTCTGGTGAGATGACACACTGGGTCAAAGCTCCTGTCACCATGCCTAAGGACTTTGTACATACCACACAGAAGCCAAAAGAAGGCATTTAAGTATCCTCCTCTGTAATGCTCCACCAATTCTTTTGAGGCAGGGTCTCTCCTGGAACCTGGGACTTGTGTTTTCTCAGTAGGCCAGCAAGCCCCAGCAACCATTCTACCTCTACACTCCTAGGGATGAGCTATAGGGATGAGCAATATGCCTGGCTTGTTCATTTGGGTGATCTTAATATTATTCAGTAACTACTGGGCCATCTCTCCAGCCTCTAGTTACACGTTTTTATCTTTTAGTTTATTTTTCAAGTGTTAATATAACTATTTTGGTTCTTTCCTGGTTAATGTTTACCTATAATATATATATATTTTACTCTTTCTACATATTTATATTTCAAATGTATCTTTTTTAGCTTTAAAAAATTCTGATAAAATAAATTAATTTAAAAATTCTGATAAGCTTTACCTTATAAAAGCAAACAATTTATATATATATATATTGCAACTGGTGATTGCAATAACTATTTCTATGGCCCATCTTTTCACTTTTTTTTTCATTTTCCTTTTGTCTTTTCCTCATTGCAGCAGTTATCCGTAGATTATTACTATATAGACAGGCAACATAAAGCAAACTGATAATGTAGACTTCTCCCAGACATTTAAAAACTAATGGTGTCTAGTGTTGAGTTATATCTTTACCACACTTAAACAAGTTACATTACATTAATGGATGGTTTTGATGAAAACAGTTAATATCTCCCAAATGTATTTTATTTATTCTTATGTGTTTTTATATTCAACTTCAAGCAAAAACATTCTCTTAAACGTAAAACCATATTCAGTAGTATACTTGTCATCTAGAGTGCATGACTGACAATACCTCTTGAAAATAGGTTCCCATTTTCTAGTTCTCCTTTAGACTTTAGACTTCATACAAGTCTTTGATCATACAAGTGATCAAAGAGAAAACCTAAGTTATAACTGATTCCTCACTCTCCCTTGGTACAACAATCTATTTTGTTATTTGAAAATTCAAAATATTCTCAAACTTAAAGTTTTTTTTGTTTTGTTTTGGTTCTTGTTGTTGTTTTTTGAGGGAGGAGGCCTGAGCTGATAATTAAAATTCAGGCTTTTATGCATGCTACCAAGTACTCTACCACAGAGTACAGCCTCAGTCATAAAGCTTGTTTTTTACAATTCAAAAGTATCCACTAGTGAGAACAATTCACTGTCCTTTTATAAAGTTCAATCCATTTCCAATTAATCAGAACAGAGCAGACAATCTTTTAAAATGCCTATTATTATCGGTTAATTCTCGTTTAAAGCATCTTCCAGGTCTCTGAATAAGTTTTAGATGTTGTACTATGACCTGCAGTCTGGCTCCTACCTACTCTTGTCACATCAGCTCAGTCACTATCAAAGCACTTTACCAAATCCTTTTCAATATTTTTGTTCTTAACTTTTCTTGCCTAGATAGCTCTACCTTGTGTGTGTGTATGTGTGTGTGTAATGATCAGAAGACATCTTGCAAGGTAACATGATTTTTCCCCCCAGCATATGGATCTTGAAACAAAACTCAGGCCTCATTGCAGGTGTCTTTACCCAATGAGTCATTTTGCCAGCCCAATTTTTACCTTTCCTATCTCGATCAAAAGGTCATTTTTTGAAGCTGGGCATGGTGACACACACCTTTATGCTCGGTACTCAGGAGATAGAGGCAGGAAGATCTTGTGAGTTTAAGGCCGGCCTGGTCTACAGACCAAGTTCCACAACAGCCAGTGCTACACAGAAAGAACATGTCTCAGGAAGAGAAAAAAAAAAAAAAAAAAAAAAAAAAAGGCAAACTCTGAGGCATCGCTCTGACCACTCTAATTAATGTTGATTTTCTATTAGCTGCCATTGTCATATTATTCACTGCCTTACTCTCTGCAGTAAACACCAGTCTGTACTTAATGTTCTTAGTTTTTTATTATACACTTTACCTACCTGTTTTTATGTAATTAGTATCAAGTTGGAATTTTATATAGTTCAAGAAACTATAACATGCAAATATATCCTATGAGAAACTAAAAATTTAGTTGTCATCAAAAAATTTATATAATCAACGATAGTCAGTTATAATAAAATAACTAGATGGTGTTTCATTACTAATTACTAATGCTAACAACATTTACCAGAATAAATAACTTATTTTAACAACAGAGGCAGAGTACAGAAAAAAAAGAAAAACACTTTTTAAAGGAAAGCAAGCATCAAATTGATACTGAAATCAGTATCTGGAAACTATGTTTACTTAAAGATCTCAATAGGTTAAGTCCTATACAAAACAATGAAATAATCCTTCATTAAACTATGACTACATGATCATGTTTCATATATTTAGAAAATAGTAAGGATGGTTAAATATTATTAAGAAATCTAGCAACAAAACTTCCTATTATCAGCAGGTCAAAATAACTGTTACAATTTTCATACTAAAAAGACTTAAACTTCAATAGTCTTGGCAGAATCCCATAAAATAAATAAAAAATTGTTTATTCCTCAATGTAATTAAAAGTGTTTTGCTCTAAATTTATATTAAGATGAGGATGTCTATGCTCTTACCCAATATAGTTTTAAAGTCTTACCTAGGTCAATAAGGCCAGAGAAAGAAATGAATACAAACAGGAAAGGAAGTCAAATTATGACTTCCTGTTTGGAGACAGTATGTTGTTTCTATTCTTAAAAGAGCCAAAGATTCTACCAGAAAGTGAACAGATTCAGTAAACAAACAAACAAACAAAAAATCAGTAGTTTCTATATGACAACAATGAACTTGCCGAGAAATAAATCATGGAGGAAAATTACATTCACCATAGCTTCTAAAATAACAGATACAGACACACAGAGGCATACACAGGGTTTGGGAAAAGAAAGATTCCAACCTGTTTTACTGATGAAATACTAGAACAAGGACAGGCAAGTTGAAAGCCACAGGTCCTTTCTAGCCTACCATTATTTGAGAGAGAAAAAAAAAATTTTTTTTTTGAAATACAACTATACCAATTCATTTACATATTGCCTATGGTAACTTTCATGCTACAACAGAATAGATGAGAAGCTACAACAGAGCCCAGCCAGTATACACAACAACGTTTATTTGGCTTTTTACAATTTAACAACCCTTAGATTAGGAATATTTTCATTCAAGGTATAAAGTCAGAGATGTTTACTATGGGTCAGCGATGTTCTGCAAATACTATCCAATCAAGCTAGATGAAAATATAGTAAAGCTTCAGCATTTGCGACTCACTGTCTCCATTTCTGAGAATGAATTGCTTAAACTATTATGACACGCTGAGTGTCACTGACCACAGACTTACCCCCTAAGGCAGACTGTGATCCCAAGTCTCTTCATTGTACAGCAATGGGCAACAGGAATTCAATTATTCCTAATTCAGCTGAAATGACCTTTTAAGTAAGCAGTCCTCAACCTGTGGGTTGCAACCCCTATCTCCAGAAATATTTATATTACAGTTTATAACAGCAAACTTACAGTTATGAAGTGGAAACAAAAATGATTTTATGGTTGGGGGGTCACCATTACATGAGAAATTGTAATAACAGGTTGCAGCATTAGGAGAATGGAGAACCACTGTTTGAAATGCACAAATTTCCTTTATAAAACAACATGAAAACATACCTTATATCCTCATACAAATACTGAAAGTGCTAGCATTTAAAACTGTTCCCTACAGGCTGGAGAGATGGCTCAGAAGTTAAGAACACTGGCTGTTCTTCCAAAGGTCCTGAGTTCAATTCCCAGCAACCACTTGGTGGCTCATAACCATCTGTAATAAGATCTGGTGCCCTCTTCTGGCATGCAGGCACACATGCAGGCAGAATACTGTATAAATAATACATAAATAAATCTTTAAAGAAATTATTCCCTACAAAATACCAAAGCCCATGTAGAGCCTACTTGTTCAACATGGGTTTATAAATATAATTACTAGTACACCCAATACTTAAAAGCAATATATGTTATTCTTGTATAAACCACATTTGAAACCATGAATCTCACTGTAAACATACCCCTCTTGAAGAGACAGTTCTTGGTTTTCTTCCTCAGGGCCACTACTATCACTCTGTAGCTCAGGTTCATTCTCATCTTTTCCCGGTAGAGTTTCCCAGCTCTCATCACTTGAAGACTGATCTTTTTCTGTCCCAGAAAATCGGTGAGGCAGAGAAGCAGACCATTCTCCATCACTGCATTCTGAACTGCAAATCAGAACAGAAATCACACGCTAAGTTATTTTTATTATCTGGAAAGTAATCAGGCACTATGGGATAGGTAGAACTACTGATGCCCAGGCTTAGAGTCAGGTATTCAAATTTTAAAATCCTAAAACAAACAAACACCCAACAGAATGTAACCCTTTCAAATGATCATGGCATTTAACAGGTTATAGAATTTATCATTTTATTTTTTTCTTTATACTAGAGCACACAATTCAATGGTATTTAAATAAGACTTTAGACATTTCTACATAAAAAATGCAATCTGAGAATCAAAAATAGTACCTGGAATGAATAATATATGTATTACTCACTATTACTCACCTTACCTAAGGGAAATAATTTTCTAATTATATACTGACCCTTGGGGGAAAAAAATTGGCAGGCAGTGATGGTGCATGCCTGTAAATCCCAGCACTCAGAGGCAGAGGCAGGTGGATCTCTGTGAGTTAAGAGGCCAGCCTGGTCTAGAAAGCCAGTTTAGGTCAGTCAGGGTTACATAGAGAAACCATGTCTTGAAAACAAGCAATCAAACAACCCCCCCAACAACAAAAGGTGCTGACAGACTTGAGACCTATATTAATACTAATATATTTAATACTATAGTAATCCTTTATTAAGGAGAAACTTTAGAGAGTATATCCCTAACCAGCAATGATCACCTTACTAAGCTTTTATAATAGTAAGAATATCCACTGAATATTTTTCATTTTTAAATTATATTTTTATTATATAAATCCATCTGTGAGATGAGTCACCTTTATTATTTTCCATCTGTTAAATGGTGTATCACCATGCTTTTATTTTAGAAACTACTTATTTTTAACTCTTTGCCCAATTTTTCCATGTCCAAATCCTTTATTTTCCATTTTATTTGTACATGGCTCTTACATCCTCATCCCTAAAAAAATTTCCACAATGACAGCAACAAAAACAACAACAAAACCATCCAAGTGACTTTCTATAAGCCTGTAATTATAGACTCTATTAGCTGATTTTCCTATATTGAATCCCACTTCCACAATTCACTTAAAAATTACATTCCAAGCCAGGCGTAATGGACCATGCCTATAATCCCAGGACTCAGGGAGGTAAAGGCAGGTGTAGCTCTGTGAGTTCAAGGCTAGACTGGTCTACAAAGTGAGCCCAGGACTGACAAGGTTATACGGAGCAACCCTGTCTTGAAAAACCAAGCCCTACTATAAAAACAAATATTCCAAATATTACCATAAGTAGTACATTCATAGTAGAACTCAACACACTGTCAAAGATTTTTTTTTCCCTCTTCCTAAAGCAGTATTTCAATTTTTCTACCATTCAGTATTCGCACTGTTTCCTACATACAATAGATAAGCACACAAGTTCTTAAGTTAGCGTTGCTGGATTTAAGTCTGCCTTTTACACTGTGTACCTTCACTCTTACATGTCAGCTGAATATAGTAACAATATCAAATATTGATACTGAGCTCACTGAGCTCATGTCAGAAACAATTAAGTTAACTCCTATCAATCACCACAGGAGTGGCTACAAGATAAAAAGACACCAATACCTGTCAGCAAACCGTTTCCTTAACAACATATTTTTACTCAAATACATTTAGTTACAGCCTAAGGTGTATCTATTAAATCCCAGGTGTGCTGTGTCAGCGAGTCAAATGAGTACTGACTACAGTCATAAATCTTAGTCTGCTAGTTACAGGAAAGCATTAATGTCTGACTAACGCTTGTAGTTCACAACAGCACAGTCCTACTTCCTTCATATAACCAGCTCTTCTTATGCAATGACTCTAGCACTGTCGTCCAAGTGTTTTACTTCAATGCTTTCTCTCACCAACAAAATGTTTTCACAATCACTTGGTACCTCTCATCCTTCAGAACTAGACCAGAATTCATTTCTTTCAAGATACGTCTGGATGAAATTGCCTTGGGAGGTGGGGGCATTATTCATGGACTGGACACCTGGCTTACTCAGTCCCAATCATTGTACTGCACCTACTTCTTTAGCACTGTATTTTTCTTAAGCATCAATTGAAATTTGTGGGACACCATGATTTGGGCTTAACAAAGTAAAACAACCTAGAACTTTCCCCATCAAGCTCTGGTAGCTGCAGATGGCCTTCTGACTAGTTAACTAAGTTGTAACTGATGAAGACTGATAACCTAAGATAGCCAATACAGCTTTTTTTTAACCTGATAAATTAATTTTTTAATTTATTTTTATTAATTACAGTTTATCACTTTGTATCCCCTGTAGCTTTCTCCCTCCTCCCCTCCCAATCCCATCCTCCTTCCCTTTACCCCACCTGTACACCTCCCCGAGTCCACTGATAGGGAAGGTCCTCCTCCCCTTCCCTCTGAAACTAGCTTATCAGGTCTCATCAGGAGTGGCTGCATTGTCTTCCTCTGTGGCCTGGTAAGACTGCTCCCCCCTCACGGGGTGGGGGGAGGGGTAAAGGGTGATCAAAGAGCAGGCCAATCAGTTCATGTCAGAGACAGTCCCTCTTCCCATTACTATGGAACCCACTTGGACACTGAACTGCCATGCGCTACATCTGTGCAGGGGTTCTAGGTTAACTCCATGCACTGTCCTTGGCTGGAGTATCAGTCTCAGAAAAGACTCCTGTGCCCAGACTTTTTGGATCTGTTGCTCTCCTGTGGAGCTCCTGTCCTCTCCAGGTCTTACTATCTCCCCCTTCTTTCATAAGATTCCCTGCATTCTGCCCAAAGTTGGGCTATGAGTCTCAGCATCTGCTTCAACAGAGGCCTTCTGTGGTAGGCTCCTGTCCTGTTCCCTGTTTTCTCCCTCCTCCAATGTCCATCCTCTTTGCCTTTCTGAATGGGGATTGAATATTTTAGTCGGAGTCCTCCTTGATTAGCTTCCTTAGGTGTACAGATTTTAGTATGTTTATCCTATATTATATGTCTAATTCCACTTATGAGTGAATATATATCCTGTGTGTCTTTCTCCTTCTGGGATACCTCACTTGGGATGATCTTTTCCAGTTCCCACCATTTACCTGCAAATTTCATGTGTTCCTAATTTTTTTTACTGCTGAGTAATATTCCACTGTGTAGATGTACCACAATTTGTGCATCCATTCCTCAACTGAGGGGCATCTGGGCTGTTTCTAGCTTCTGGCTATTACAAATAAAGCTGCTACAAACATGGTTGAGCAAATGTCCTTTTTGTGTACTTGAGCCTCTTTTGGATAAATGCCTAGGCGTGGTAGAGCTGGATCTTGAGGAATCCCTATTCCCAATTGTCTGAGAAAGTGCCAGATTGATTTCCAAAGTGGTTGTACAAGTTTACATTCCCACCAGCAGTGGAGGAGGGTTCCCCTTTCTCCACATCCTCTCCAGTATGTGCTGTCACTTGAGTTTTTGATCTTAGCCATTCTGATGGGTGTAAGGTGATTGGGAAAGGATCTTCACCAACCCTTTATCTGACAGACGGCTAATATCAATAATATATACAGAACTCAAGAAGTTAAACAGCAGCAAATCAAGTAATCCAATTAAAAAATGGGGTACAGAGCTAAGCAGAGAATTCTCAATTGAGGAATACAGAATGGCAGAGAAACACTTAAATGCTCAACCTCCTTAGCCATCAGGGAGATGCAAATCAAAACGACCCTGAGAGTCCACTGCTTTCTATGCCTCACATCCTGCTCTAGCTCTGGGAGATGCTCAATTCATGAATCATTTTTGTCTGGTTTTCCTAGAAACAAACATCACAAAATTTAATTGCTCTAAGGTATTTTTCTAGTTATATAAATGTAATCAGTTTCCTTAATAACTTAGCAGCAGTTTCCAAAAAGACAGATAAGCTTAGAAGGTATTAAAGACTATTCAATAATACAGCTTTAAATATAAAATTTTACTGGTATTTAATTTGAAAAGTGCTAGCAATAGGCATGTACATGGATATCCAAAAAATATGTGCATATTTGTGACAAGTAGCAGAAACATTATTTTGATGGGAATGTTATTAATTATGACAATCTAATATTCAGTACTAATTTGTAACTCTAAAAGCCTAAACTGGCTCAGAAAGTCAGAGGCGACTATAACCATATTGACTTTCTACTACTAAAAATGCCAAACCCAATTTCTTTATTGAAGACACAAAATAATATTGATGATAACAAATTTCTAAGAATATGCTTTAAAGTCAGACAGATTTGGCTCAGAATCTAGGATAATTTCTTTGTGCTTAATTTCCTCATCTATAAGATGACATTATTAATATTCAAGTTGCAAGCCTATAATGATGTTTAGATTATAAACTGGATACAAACCATGCAATAAAAATTTTAGGATAGTTTAAAACGGAATCATTACCTTCATTATTGAACAGTCTATCTTTTTAGATATGTCAATGGGTTGCTTACTGTTCACCAACCACTATTTCCTTCTTTTCTGTGCCAAAGAAAAGCTTTGCTGCATCAGCTCAATTATCCTGGTTACATCAGCAAGGATGTCACCGAGGAAAATCCAACTTTAGTCTTTGATTTTTTTTTTTACACTAAGGATCAGAAAATTATACCATAGACCATTACCCAAACTAGGTCATCTACTTGTTTCTTTCTTCTTCTTCTTCTTCTTTTTTTCGAGACAGGGTTTCTCTGTGTAATCTTGGCTGTCTTGGACTTGCTTTGTAGACCAGGCTGGCCTTGAAGTCACAGAGATCCACATGCCTCTGCCTCCCTAGGAGCTGGGATTACAGTCATGTGCGACTGCGCCCAGCTGGTTACCTGTTTCTTCATGATCCCGAAAATAAAGTATTTTTAAGTTTTAAATGGTTATAATCTAAGTATGTGCGTGCGTGTACACACACACACACACACACACACACACACACACACACACACTCATAATTAACCAAAATATCTAACCCATTGTGCTCCGTTAGAAACCATCTGCAGAGTGGAGGTCCAAACAAAGGATGTCATTGTTACGAATTTGGTTCTACCCTGAATACA